TTCTTTTCTTGTATTTTATATATCATGGAGTTCACTTTTTTGTAAAACTTTGGTAGTTAATGCTAATCCATATGAGAGTTGATACTTGATAATCTGAAGTGCAATAATATATTGTATATATGCTGTATAGGGGTGTTGCTTGATGACTTGCTAGTTGCTGAAGACCTAGCTGCTGCTGAGACAACGACAGCAGCTTCACATGCTGCAGCTGCAGCTGCTTCTTCTAATGTGCAGCCTGGGCGGTTACATGGAAGGTATGGATTTATTGATGAGAGAACAAGGGAAACAATGTCTGAAGCAGTTCCCAATGGAGCAGTTGTGCTGGGAAATCCTGTTGCTCCCCCTGTAAATGGGGATACATATACTGACATAAGCACTGAGAATGCCATGCTTCAAGGATCCCGGTAAGCTACCACTTATTTTTGTCGTGTTAGATGGTTATTGAATTCTTAAGCTTCCTCGATTAATCCAAGTAGCTACAACAATGTGGTTTATATTGCAGGAGGATGAGCAAAGGCGTCGAGTATTTGGTTGAAGCATCAGCTGCTGAAGCCGAGGCTATTAGTGCAACACTGGCTGCTGCCAAGGCACGGCAAGTTAATGGGGAAGTTGAACTTCCCGGTAGGGATCGAGGGGCAGAGGCTACACCTAGTGGAAAACAGACATCTACCTCGACTAAGATGCCTGACTCTACCGGGTCAAATAATGCTACTCCAGCTGGAGTTCGGCTTCACCATAGAGCTGTCAGTATTGGAAAATTTGGTCTACACTACACTGGTCTCAAGTCAATATTGGCATTTTCTGTTATATAATTTTGTGCCCAATGTTTCCTTTATGTCAACAGATTGTCGTTGCTGCTGAGACTGGTGGAGCTTTAGGTGGAATGGTCAGACAACTTTCAATTGACCAATTTGAAAATGAAGGCAGGCGGGTTAGCTATGGAACTCCAGAGAATGCAACTGCAGCAAGGAAACTCTTAGATAGGCAGATGTCAATCAGTAGTGTCCCAAAGAAGGTACCGATTGCACTTTTTGGCTTAATTATTAAATGTCCTTAAGCTTCTCAATCCACAACTTAGGCTTATGAAAAGAGTAAAGGTCGAAAGAGAAAAAAGCTCAAAAAGCAGCAAATTGTTTTGTTTGTGGTTATAAGTAGGGCAGATTTTATTACCATGCTCTCAATGCATTTCATGCCTTGCAATCTTAAGCCAAGAACATCAGCATTAAAAATATTATTAGTTAATGATTTTTCTGATCAGTTGCTTCTGTTATTTGTTTTCTGTGCCTTTTAAAGAATTCATCCTTGAGTTTTAATTGGATTACTGGACATAAAAATCCATTTTTCTCTTGAATATTCCAGTTTAATAATCTATTTGTAGTACTTCTTATGGATGAACCTCAGATTTGTTTTTCTACTGGTCACCAAGATAATGATGAAGTTGTAGCGGATAAAAGTTCATCAATTTAATTGCATTAGTCTTGTACTGTTGCTCCTGTTAGATCTTTCAGTCTTTAAAAGATTAATTCATCAATGTAAAATGGTGCCTGCACCAGGTCATTGAACATCTTTTGAAGCCTCGTGGTTGGAAGCCTCCAGTTTGCAGACAGTTTTTCTTAGATTGCAATGAAATTGCAGATCTCTGTGAAAATGCTGAAAAAATATTTGCGGTCGAACCAACTGTTTTACAGCTGAAGGCTCCTATTAAGATTTTTGGTGATCTACATGGACAGTTTGGGGATCTTATGCGCCTTTTTGATGAATATGGTTCACCTTCAACGGCTGGGGACATCGCGTAAGTGATTTGCTGAAAAGATTATCGTTTTCTAAAGGCTTTTTACTGACATTTTTAATATATATTATTACTGTTGTCTTCTTATGTGTAATCTGCATCTACTGTATGCACCTTTGTTTTTCATCTCAGCATTTTATTTACTTGATGCTGATTTAAAAAAAAATACTATCAGATATATAGATTATCTCTTCCTAGGAGATTATGTAGACCGGGGCCAGCACAGCTTGGAGACCATTACCCTTCTGCTTGCTTTGAAGGTAAATTCAGAATTTTGATGCTTTGATAATCTTCTCATTCTTACTTTTATTTCCCATTGAAGTTGAGATGAACCAAGATTTTCATATAATTCATTAACATAACAGGTTGAGCATCCCAATAACGTACATTTAATTCGGGGGAATCATGAGGCTGCAGATATCAATGCACTTTTTGGCTTCCGGATCGAGTGTATTGAGCGCATGGTATTCTCTTAGATGTGATAGAGAAAATGTTCTGCATTCTGTGTATAACATTTATTCACAAATATGATGGCCTGTGTTACAGGGTGAGAGAGATGGAATATGGGCATGGCAATGCATAAACCGTTTATTCAATTGGCTTCCTCTGGCCGCTTTAATCGAAAAGAAAATCATTTGTATGCATGGTGGCATTGGCCGGTCTATAAATCATGTGGAACAGATTGAGAATCTACAGCGTCCAATTACAATGGAAGCAGGCTCGATCGTTCTTATGGATTTATTATGGTCTGATCATGTTACTGTTTTTCTATGTTCGTTAAATATAGGATTCATGCTTTGTTTTACCAATTACATTTTACTGTTGTTTCTACTCTAGGTCTGATCCAACAGAGAATGATAGTGTAGAAGGGTTGCGACCAAATGCTAGAGGTCCGGGGTTGGTTACTTTTGGGGTTAGTGTGTTACTTCAAAACTTCTGTTAATTTAACTGAAGGCTGGTTTGCATTTTTCTGCTTACGTAAATGGTGTTTTGCAGCCTGATCGTGTCATGGAATTCTGCAACAACAATGATCTTCAGTTGATTGTTCGAGCTCATGAGTGTGTTATGGATGGCTTCGAGCGCTTTGCTCAGGGGCATTTAATCACACTTTTCTCAGCAACCAATTATTGCGGTGTGTCCCTGACCCTACTTTAATACACATACCATGTCTCATCTCAACAGACCATTTTAGCCTTTCAAATTTTGCTTCATGCTTGTTTTTTCAGGTACTGCTAACAATGCTGGTGCAATCCTAGTTTTGGGTAGAGATTTTGTAGTAGTTCCGAAACTCATTCATCCTCTACCCCCGGCAATGTCACCTGAAGCATCATCGGAACGTCATGTAGATGATACATGGATGCAGGTGCCACCTCTTTCTCTTCGTTAGCTATAACTAAACGAATATTATTATGACATGCCTTTAATTGTTTTACGAGCGTTGCTTTTAATACCCGTGTTCCATTTTCATGGACCAGGAGCTGAATGCTAACAGACCTCCGACGCCTACTAGAGGTCGTCCTCAAGTAACAGACGATCGAGGCTCTCTCGCTTGGGTGTAGCAGACCCTTCCGCTTGTTTCTATATACTCATTCGGGCTCATGCAACCACCTGAAAGAGATTCTGGTATATACAGGCATCCCAAATATGTAATCTGTCAGATTAAAAGCCAATTTTCACCACGTGATATGCCTCGAGATTTATGAAAGATGCTAGTTCGGGAATTAAATTGCTGGTATGGCAGCTTTACTTTGGTTTCAAGCAGCTGAACATTGCGATATGGTCTTCTCTCCCTTTAGATTGAGACGGGCGGGTTGACGGTAGTTGGGTAGTTCTTCGAAAGGGTTGGTAGTGTTGAGCATTTTTCACATTTAATTACTTATACATTATTCCTGGTTTTTGGTGTTGAGTTGATGAAGAGATACTATTATGGGCGTCCTTTGTATCATAGAGAGGTTTTGATTGCTGTATTTTTCTCATTTATTTCAGCTTTGTACAATGTAATATTTGTGTTGAGGAGGTCAGTTTATTTCAAATATTAATTACTTAAAATTATCAAATATTAAATCTTACACCTAATTACTAATTTATCACCAAAACAAAGCAACCCATGATTATTGAAACTGATTATGAGCTTATATAAATGACCATAAAACTAGTAAAAAAAGGCCGCATCACTCTATTTCTGATTTTACTTCCGAGTAATAAAAAATAGACAATGTTAAAGTTATTGATCAATTGAAAAGTTTTTAAAGTTAAGCGATCAAAATGGAAATGTGGTCAAGATTGAGTGATGAAAAACGTATTTTACCCTCTTTTTAAAAATTTCGTTTTATTACATTATCCAAAATGTAAGAACGCGGCAAAAACTCTAAAAAGAAGAGAAAAATAGAAATCATTCCATCCGTACTGTGAATGTGATTCTCAGTAATTTCACCTACAAAACATGTTTGTCCTCTACAAGTTTAATGGTGGCGCACTTTATCCGAAGAGAATAGAATATTGTATACATTATAAGAGCACACAAAACTGGGGTTTAAGATATGCTCTTATAAATGAAGCCAATTCCAGGAATCTCCAAGGTTAAAGCTCGTGGCAACATCTAGGGAAGGGAAAAGAAACAGCTTTGATTTAGTAGTTATAGTGAAAGATTGAAAACAAGGGTTGATGGGTAGGGGTTATAGTAGGATGATAGGTGGGAGCTTGGATCGAAAAAGAAAAAGAAATGGTGGGTTGAGAACCAAACAGTCTGGTAGAGGAAGTTAGATTTAAAGCTCCATTTTTTTCTTCATTTTTCTTATGAATTTGGATTGTTTTAAAGATTTGAGTTTTTGAGTTGCTTCTCGTTGGTTGAATTGCCTTCAAATCCATGTTTTGAAGGAGATAGAGAGCTATGAGTGGTTTGTTGAAAGAAACTTTGTGGGGTTGCTGTTTTTTTGGAAGATTGGGTAAGTAGTTTTACTGTTTTTCCTAATCTGTTTAGTGGTAGAGAAAATGAAGGAAAAACACAGGGAAAGTTGTGCTTGATGCTTATTTCTTTGTTGCAATGCATGCTTGTGGTTACTCAAGTGAACTGAAGTTTATGCTTGTATATTTCTAGTACCTTTTGCAATGTGTTTTTCCCTATCCTTTATCGATGTTAGATTCCATTTTTAGAACATTTAACTCTTTAAATTGGATCAATGCGGAGTTTTCCACTATAGGTCAAAGAAAGTTTAAATCAATGAATTAATATAATTTTAATTATTCCTCAATAATTCTACAATTTAATTAACAAAATATTGTTAATAAACTTCCAATCCATATAAAACGCCGGCATGCTTTTCCGGTCCGTCACTGACGAAATACACGTCTCTCATCTTCTGAAACGCGTGCCATGTCAGCAAAGAATCGGACCCTGCTTGGTGACATTTCCCGGCCGCCCGATTCACATCCAAGGTCCGAGCGACTCGGTCCAACCCACCGTACAAGCTATTGCAGAATCTCATCATGTGTTTCAAATCGTAAACTTTGTTACCGAAGAACACTCTAAGAATCGTCAAAAACTCCTCTAGTCTCCCGGGCAAGTTCCGTCGGGTCAGGATCTTAACCAGGTACCCGAAATCGTACGCACTGTGAAAAGTCACCCAGCTCACTGAGTCATTGCACACGAGTCCCGACGACATCATCAGCTCGGCAAACCGTACCGAATCGATCCCTTTCTCCCTGTTCTTGTCGAAATCGATCCCTTGCCGTCTCAAGAGCTCGATGGAATCGGTCGCGTGAGGGTCACGCTCCACGTCGAAGTCGCGGAAGTTGAATTCCCAGATGAACCGACCGCCGTCGGCGGATCCGAGACGGGGCAGGTTACCGGAAGAATCGGAGAGGGTGAGGCCCACTTGGATCAGGTTCAAAGCATCAACGTTGGATTTCAAGGCCTTGTAGTGGTCGGACGGCCGGAATTGGCCGTGGAACGGCCTGGTGGGGTCCACTTTCGGACGGAAAACAACACCCGGGAACTCGGTGTCCATGGAAATAAAAGGGTACTCGTCGATCACTTGACTGATCAACTCGAACTCCGTTTCCAAATTATCCGACCAAACTTCCCTTATCATTACATGTTCCGATGAAGCCCTGTCGGAATCATCAAACCCCATGTCAGAAAATCAACAAATTATTACAAAAGGAACAAAATTCTCCTCTTCTTGTTTTGGTGTTTGAAGAGAGCGGGAGGAGTGTGGATATATATATTAGATAAAGAGGGTTTTGAAGATGTTGCTTGGAAGGTGGTGAAAGCTTAAGAGTTGGAGTGTGGGTGCCGCCATCGAAAGCAGAAAAGGAGGTTCAACGCGTTTGGTCATTTTTGACCAACTCTGGGGGGAAGAACAACGTACACAATGACTTGATAATAATCCATGTTTTTGATATTTTTCTTCTATTTTTTGTTAAATGGCAAGTGGCAAATCTAGTTGGTTGGTTGATGGGGACGCTCTTCTTTTACATGCTTCAGGAACCACTGGTTGTTAAAGTAGTGTGCAACTTGGATGGGAGGTGTGTTTTGTGTCACATTATATTGCCTAAAGTAATGTCATTCAAGTATGAATAATTTTTTTGTTTTTGTTTTTAACGCTAAAGTTTTAAAAATAATAAAATAATTAGTAATATTATTGTCTTATAATAAATCAGTCATTGAAGTATTACCGCAGTCATAGAAGTCTGATAAGACATATTTGAACGATTGAATTAGTATTGTTTGATCACGTTAACACCTTTTGATTATTCACTTTTAAGCACACTAAAAACATAAATAAATCTCAACCACACTCTCTCTACACTCTCACCGAACACTATCGATTTCACCATACTTGAGCTCTGGACACTGATAAAGAAAAACCTCTGATTGTAAAAGTGGCACAATATTATTCACATGAAGACATGCCATTCACTTACCACAAGCTATTTCCACCAAGTTGAGGAAGTCGACAATGATCGGTTGAGGAAGACGACAATGATGTTTTGTTAGATTTCAATGCAAGATTTTGCAGTGATTTTTGCCTTATCCATAACTTTTTTTAGATTTATATTCTCTAAAAATTTAAAGAGTCTTTGAAAACAAGAAATTGCAGTTTTAGTGGCAAGCATGAAAAATCTCGGATAAAGTATCATAGAGACTGCCATAGGCACATCAAATAATCCACTACGGCATGATTTGACTAGTTTAAATTTGAAATGGTCACTGTCCTCAGAAATTTTATTAAGTGAGCTATTATCATCTCATCCCATATAATTAAGAGATTTTGAAGTGAAAATTTTTGTCTAAATAAAACCCGCAACTAACCAAGTGTAAAATACTGTGAGTTCAACAAGATGAGCATGCAGAGAAGAATGGACGATTGACAGTAAATGATATAATACAGTTGAGGCTTCAATGACCACTTTGGGACTCAGCTACAAGAGAGGAAGCAAAAAATTTTATCATGCAACTGAACCACATGCCCAATCTCCAGAGCATCAAACATACATTAGACATCATGTTCTATAAATTTCTCAGACAAGACAATACCAAGTTCACCTTCAGCTCCATAAACATCACTTAGCTATTACAACCATACATGTGAATAACATTGCGCCATCTTTACAGTCACAAGTTTTTCCTGATCAGGATCCAGAGCTCAAACATGGTGAAATTGGTAATGTAGTGTCATGTGAAGAGCAGAGGAAGAGTGCGACTAAGATTTATAATTTTTCAAGTTAAGAGTCAAAATGGTTTGTCAAAAGGTGCCAACATGGCCTAGGAAGTACCAACTCAGTTGTCCAAACGTGCTACATCATATTTATATAATTATGATAATGGTTATCAATACTGTTTGATTAATATGTTACAAAACGATAATATTAACAACTGTTTCATTACTTTAATACTGAAAACAAAATTTTATTTCTACTTTAATGATCATTTATGTAGTTTATCCCCCGCAATATTTGGATTTAAGCATTCTTGAATAAAATAACGAGGGCGTGACGGCTAGACAGGCACATGGAAACTGAGGTAATAACAATTAATTAATATAATTATTTGGATAAGAACGGGGTTCAGCTGGCTGTTAAGGCACGACAGATGTTTTATTATATTCGTCAACGCTCACACTTAGGAAATAGGTTGGAAGCTCAAGTTTAGCTTATTATAATGTGCAAGTCTACATCTATAAAAACTAGTATAGTATGTGGACCCGATCTGAAATCACGTTTAACATTATTCTGCCACTTACTAGATTAGCTTTATAACTTTTCCAAGATAAAATCATAATATTATTATAACACAGTGTAACGTATACATCATAATATTTTTAAGATTATTATTACATTATAAATTGCATCAATAATATAAAAATATAATTATTTTTTAAAAATAATTATGTTATAACATCGGTAATAGCTGTAACTACAACTTCACCCTGTGGTGTTAAGAATCATGTCATGTAAATTGGCAAGATCCGTAGTCGTCGCTGCAACTTTGCGTGCGACGCAGTTATCTCCAAACCAACAAAGAATGCAGTGCCCACCTATTCCTGCAAATAAATTTATAACAAACATGCTCTTTATCTCGGCAATTCATCACAAAATTTATATCAGAATTTCTGATTATGGTTTTAGATGATTTTTAAAGTTTTTTTTTTATTTTGTTTAATTATCGGTATATGATCTATTGATCAATTATTTCAGATTTAGTTTTGCAGAGGTTCATTATGAGACGACTCTCTCAATCCAGTTTACTCTATTCATAAACGTCATGATTTGAACTATTGACATTGTCTAAAAAAAATCTAGTGTCTCATTTTACTAGATTAATTACTTATTGATTAAAAAAGTTGGTATTTGTAATCATGTTTGTAATTATTTATATTAAAAAATTCTTGATAATATATCAAGTTACAAATCTTTGTAATATATAAAGTATCCGATGCAGTTTTTGACCATCTCTTGCCTTCCATTTATTTTGTAGCAATAAATATACTGCCCAATAATGCCCAGTGTGGGATCCCAGCCTTGAAGGAGAATGCCGTGCAAAGGCGTTGTTAGGGACACGTAGTCAAGGGAATGATAACGGATTTAATTGACAAATTTTTTAATCCAAAACACCTTAAAAATATTTACAGAATTAATATTTTTAATCGATTATTTATTAAAATAATACTTTTATTAATATAATATATCTTTATTTTATATGATATGTTTAAAATTAGAATTTCAATTATTAAAAATACGATATATTTTATTGATTTTCTTTACTTATTTTCCTCAATCAAATTATCTTTAATAGAAATGTTTTATGAATTTTAACATTTATCTCAACAGTTATCATTAAAAGCGTTACAATTTGATTTAAAATAACATTAAAAAAAATCTAAAACCAGTGTAAAATTTTAAGAAGTATTCATTTTATAACAATGTAGTCTATATAAATCGAAAGTATACGTGTTAGCTTACAAAGAAAAAAATATGAGTTTACACAGAATAAAGAACTATGAATACCAGTAATCGAGTATGGTCAATTAATTAAAAATATAACCTTTTGATCGAAAGTGTGGATGAGATTATAATTATTTTACAACATAGAAAATTGTAAATAAAATATGATTTGATTATTCTTATACATATAAAGTGGTTGAACTGCACTTTTATGACAGTGGGTGGGCTGCATCGATATCTATGATAACTTAGCTTTCAATGTAAATCCATCGAGACTTTGATCCAACCCTCGATGCTTACAACTTGCCTTTGAATTATTATCATCTTTTCGTTTTATTTAGAAATATTTTTTTGTTTATATGTTTAAGCTTATATTTTTTGTTTATATATTTAAGCTTATATTTTTCTTAATGCTCTGGGCTCATATATTTTTCTTTATCCAATCCTTCGAGACTTTGATCCAACACTTCATGGTCAAATATTTTTCTTTATTACTTAAATACATATACAAGCTTATATATTATATATTGTATTTATATACTTGAATGTGAGTAAATAATTATTTTATATAATATAGAGACTATCAAGTATTATATATAGTATATTATTTACTCACTTTCAAGTATATGAATATAATAGACTTTTAATAGACATGCATGTATATAATTATTTTGTATGTTGTTAACAGAATGCCAAAAACATTACAAGTGGATTTACAATGTCGTCACATGTGATATCTAATACATAATTAATTTAAATTTAAGTATTGGAGAAGTTCATTGTGGATAATAGACTTGTATATGTAAACGACACCAATCGTTTGGAAGAAAACATTAAACGTTTTAAGAAAAACATTATTAGAACTAGTATTCCAATAACTGTTCTTAGTGCGTCCGTGTGTGAATACTCGTCTTTAAAAAAGACAACACCTTTAAAGATATAAAGTAAATCAGAGACAACAGTAAAAGATTGTCAAATCAACGTAATTAAGATAATTTCAAGACTGTCTAATCTTGATTAGACGGATTCTAACAACTCCAATAGATTAGACTGAATATACTTTTCAGAAATAGAAAACAAAAACACTTGACCCTAAAGCACTACCATAAAGAAATTGCGAGGTACCCATCCCGCTCATGTGGCATGAATCATGACTTTCTATATCATACCCATAAATATAAATTTAAATGAAATCGATTCGATACCCATACCAAAATCAAATCGGATTTTGTTCCAGTTGATGTCAAATACAATCTCTACCAGTTTTTATTGACCCATATAAATAATGATCACCAATCAAAGATCTGGTCGCACAAGTATATAAATGCAGTCGGTTTACACTAACCAGATAAAGAATCAGAATCATATAAACTCCACCAACCAAATCCATCGAGGAAGACAAATTGCCAGAGTTTGTGTTTTCAGCTTCTAGTAAATGGCAACTAAATGAGATGAAACCCAAAACCTCCTAAACAATAGCCCGAAAAACAAAACTATTGAGCCAAAAATCATAGTACCCGTATTCTCGATTTGGTGGTCAGGAATTATATGCATTTAGCAGTGCTCGGTGGACCATGTCGATGAATTGGTTGTCCTGAAACATATTCAATGCTGATTAGATGCATGGGAGAAAATGAGTAAACCAGATTTTAAAACAAGAATTAAAGTTCCAGTGTAGGGTAAAGTCTTCCATAACCGGAAGTCTAATTTGGAGCATTGCAGATGGATGTACACTAACCTGAATGAGAGCCAAAAGAGCCTCCCGGACTTTTTCTCTGCTGATAGATAACCCATAGTTTTGAGTGGGGACAGGTGCAGGAGTGAGTGATGGTGAAGGAGTGGGTGGTGGAAAAGGTTGAAGCAACGGTGCACCGTGCAGGCGTGGCAGACTCAGAGGAGGGTTAAGTAGAGGAGCAGTTGGTGAAAATGTAGAGACGGATTGCACTATCTGTGGAGAAGAGGAAGGATGCAAAAAGAATGTTGAGGGCTTTACAAGATTAGTATGATTGCTTCCCAATTCAGGTGTATCATGTAGTGGCATCGACGGACTAGAAGATGATAGAGGATATGGTAGTACTGGCACTGTAGGGGAAGCGACAATCGCTGGGTTAGAAGTAGCAGGCATTGCAGCAGAACATTGGTAAGGTTGTCCATAATTTGCTCTATTTGAAGCACTTCCAATGGTCATAGCTGTCTGTAACATGTAATAAAAGGACAAAAATATAGCCACCCATAATAAATGTTGTCCCTATGCTATATCTAAAAAGACAAAAAGGGCACAAATTAAAAGGAAATTATCAGCGTTTGTTCATTAATCTCAGTGGATAAACTTATGACATGTAGAAAGCGATGGATGTACTAAGAAAACATGGATACTTGAACTGCAGAATAAACATGATTCACCGGATAGGATGTTGCCATCTCCTTATAAAAAACACATAATTGATTAAACAATTAGATTTGGTGTGCTATACTAGGATGCTTAACTACAGAATATATCGTTGCGGTGAAAGAACGGGAAAACATTCATTAACTAAGAACAATTTGTCATGATAGAGCTCACTTTACGATAAAGCAACCAACAAGACAAAATTATAGTCATAGGGTGACACAATTTTCTATATGCACAGGAACATATTGCATGCAATCATAGAGCAGAATCAAATGCACTGAAAAAAGAGAACACTTCATTAAGGAAACATTGACTTGGAAATTGCATACACTGAAGAAATTCACAAAGGCAGGATCATCAGGGACCTCTGCAGCATTGGATGCAGTTGATGATGATGGCTCCAAGGGACCATCCATGATGGCCATTGTTGTGACAGCCTCCAGTTCTTCAAACTCACCGCATTCATGATTAATACTGTTACTTGGAAAGTTGAAAGCAGTGAAACCCAGAATATCATGGAAGTTTACAAAGCAAATATAATGGCATTGCAATTGGCACAGTTACCATTCATTACAGTTAAGATTTTACTCGTTAGAAAAGCAAGCTTGAAAATTGGGCAGAATCTCAAAAACGGGATTTTCTACTATACTAAACCAAAGCAAGATGCAGTCCCGAAAAATCATAATAATCCAGTACCCATTTGGTAGAAGAAAAATGAAAGGTTCAGGACTCCACTATTATAGTTGACTGGCAATTTAGAAGAAAAAAAACATCTCTTAAATGATAGTGATGGATACGGTAAAAGAAACGTACCAAATTGAAACAAATGGTAACACAATATAACTAATGAAGTGATTTCAAGTGCTTGGAAACAGCAAGTTTGACCCAAAAACTCAAAATGGTCACAATTATAAAGCACAAGGAGATAATTCAATTTGATGATGTATATGCTGATAACTAAGCATAATGCTAATTTTAAGAAAATGAAGAAACACAGTGTAAGCAATAGAAAAAGAGGGGACAATAATGCTTACCCTTTTGCTGATGTTACCTTTGCCTTCTGGGGCACCTTTGAGTATGCAGTAAGGATCCTGAAGATGCCAAAGCACATAAAATGGCACAAATAAGTAGTAAAAAATATCATAAAATTTTCATCATACAATCACGCACAAAATCAACCAGGTAGACATCAAACAACCAATGACCGGAATTAGGCACAGAAAAAAGACTTATATACATTTGTCTTTTGTCAATGCAAAACAAATGACAAAAACTATCAGTACCTGCTGAAAAGATTTGCAACTTCCTCCAGTTCACCAGCATCATAAAACCAGATACCATTTATTTCCTGAGAAGCATTGCGGTATAGCAGATATTTATCCTGAACTTCATACTCAAAATCTCCCAAGAGATTTTCCACCAAATTATCTGTTTATAGAAGGCGCATTGAAGCTTATTAGCACTAAATAAACAAAACTTTATTAAAACTTAAAAGACTCTGCTTCTTAGTTTAATCTTCATTCTCACCAAATTGTGCAAAAAAGATTGATTATACATTATTCAGGCATTTTCTGTTCCGGTTTAAGTTCAAGTCATACAATTATTAAGCATTGATACAAGAAGATCAAGAACAGCATGGAACTAACCAGTATTGCGTCTATTCATCACAATAAACTGAAACCTAGGTTGCGTATTCCTGAATTATGAAACGGAAATAAATAACTTAAATTTGAAAAAACAAAAAACAAAAGAAAATGCACATAATATTAAAAGAAATTCCAAAGTTACCTCTTCACGACAAAGAGAGATCCTTCAACGTCTTTTCGGCTCTGAATAATCAACAAGAAGCAAAACTTCAGTTTTTAGAGAATAAAAAGAAGGCTTCATAAATAATTGGAAATGAAGCATTACCCATTGGCTAAGGTCGATGTTGAACTCATAGAAGGCAACATGAGCGGCGGTGATGAGAATTTCCTCGACGAAAGGATCGATGCGACGGAGGACCGTTAAATTGAGGAGTTTCGTGCTTTGTTGGTCCAGATTGGGCATTAATTTCCCGAATTGCGGCTGCGACATCTTGGATCTTTTTTTCAAAAATTAAACTGAGAAAACCTACCTAGATTTGTTGATGATAGCATTGTCTTCTTGAAGAATTCGGTATCCGAAACTTCTTGTGTCAAAGATATTCTCCTTACCTATGAAACTTGTTCGAGTCAAAAAGTTAATTATGACAAGTCTATGGTCTACTTTAATCCAGCTACTCCTACTCACATACACAATTATCTCACATTCTTGGTATTTGGGAGATGTTAGGTCTTGGTCACTATATTGGTATGCCCCTTCGCATTGACAAAAATAAAATCAATGCCTTTGGTTATATTCGTGATAAAGTTGTGGCTCGTGTCATGGGGTGGACCAAAAATCATCTTTCTTTCGGCGGTAAGGAGATCTTCATAAGGAGGTTGCTCAAGTCTTGCCTCAATTTATTATGTTGTGTTTTCTGCTACCGGATTATCTCCTTCAAGAGATGGTCGGAGTTATGAGACATTTGTGGTGGACAGATAAGCATCTGTTCGAGGATGACCTCTTATTGCTGGACACAATGTGTAAGCCGAAATGTTGGGAGTTTGAGTTTCCGTGATTGCATAACTTTAATCTTGCTCTCATTGGCAAGCTTGGTGACAAAAATAAAATCAATGCCTTTGGTTATATTCGTGATAATTGTGGCTCGTGTCATGGGGTGGACCAAAAATCATCTTCTTTCGGCGGTAAGGAGATCTTCATAAGGAGGTTGCTCAAGTCTTGCCTCAATTTATTATGTTGTGTTTTCTGCTACCGGATTATCTCCTTCAAGAGATGGTCGGAGTTATGAGACATTTGTGGTGGACAGATAAAGCATCTGTTCGAGGATGACCTCTTATTGCTCGGATCACAATGTGTAAGCCGAAATGTATTGGGAGTTTGAGTTTCCGTGATTTGCATAACTTTAATCTTGCTCTCATTGGCAAGCTTGGAGGCTTATCTAAGCTAAGTATTATCCTAGCGGTATTATTCTGGATGCTCAAATTGGAGACAAAAGCTCTTATGTCTGGAAATGCATTATGTGTGTTTTATCGGGTAGCTTGTATTGGAGAGTGAGCATCGATAGCTCACTCAACGTTAATTAGGATCAATGGAGAGGTTCAAATATGGTTTCTTCTTCTCATTCTTATGATACTAATATTGATATTCTCTCTCGTTGTTGTGATCTAATGCAGTCAGGGAAGGCGCTTTGAGACGAGGTGAAAGTCCGCCAACAATTCCACCGTGAGGATGCTGAAGCTATTCTAGATCCATCGCTCCTTGCCTTGTGAATAAGTTCATTTGGGGTTACCACGACTCCGTTATCTACTCCGTTAGATCCGGGTATCATTGGCTTCAACGTTCTTCACATGAGCAAACTAGACCTCGTCGGTATGGAAAGCTTTAGCGAAGCTCAAAATCCTCCCTAAGATTTGCCTCTTTGCGTGGAGGGTGGCCCACAATGCCTTGTCGGTGGGTAATCAACTTCGGGCTGCCGGTCTCACTCCGTCTCAGTTATGGCCTTCTGTCTTTTATGCATCATATATGAGAAAATCATTTTGCATGCATTGCGTGATTGCTCCCATGCTCAAGCTGCTCTACAGCTCGCTAAATTGCCTTACCTTTGGTCTACCCAGGTTACATCTTCGATTCTTTGGCTTGAGGATGTTATGAATAAGTTGTCTCTACCTGGTTTTGCATGTTTTATTACATTGCTTTGAAATTTGTGGAATGATCGAAATTCCATGGTTCATAATACCAAGCTTCAACCTCCATGGCTCCTTGTCACTGATGTCAAGATTTTACATCGTGATTTCCTAGAGGCTATCGAGCAAGCAGGGAGGAGGACGAGAGGGTTACTACCTCAACGTGCTTCTTCCGGGCAAACTGCAGATGTTCCTTCCAACCAATATCATTGGATTCCTCCGATTGATGGCTTTGTGAAGGTGAATGTGGATGGTTCCTTTGATCCAATCTCTCGCATTGGTGACTAGGGACTCCCATGGTCATGTTCTTGTCGGCTTGGTTCAGACCTCGCTGAACTGCTCGGAGCCTAGCTTAGCTGAGATTCATCCCCTCACCACTGGTTTACGTTTTGCATGTGATAATAATTGGCAACGTGTTCAACTGGAGACAGATTCTGCTTTGGTTGCCAATAAGTTGAACCGTGCGGAGGATAATATTTCTACTTTTGCCTTCCATATTAAGGAAGCTCGAGTTATTTTGCATGATAATAGGGATTTCACTATTTCGTATGTAAAGCGTTCGTGTAATCGAGTTGCTCATACCTTAGCAACTTGGGCTTTTTGGGACCGAAAATTCATCATTTTTTCACTCAGGTTGTTCCAAGACAATTTCTAATGATGTATTGAGCGATGTTATTCCTCCTTAACGTTAAGTAGTCGGGTACTCTTTTTCTCTTGTAGGTTGTAGGAAGAGTTTTTAATGAGGTCATTAAAAAAAATTCGCAAATAAGTATATATGTAGAGGGAGGTAGGGTGTGTGTTTTTTCTCAGGTTCTTTTAAGAGCAAAAGCTGAAAGGATGAATATAAACAAGAGAAGGGTGGCAGCCATGAGAGAACCCACCACAGCTCCGCTCACCGCCAGGCAAAAATCATCGAACTGTTGACAGAATGGTAGGCAGGTGGTGTTGGGGTTCCCGTTATGAGCCAAATATTTAATAGACGCAGAAGCTGAAGCCGCTGCTACATCGCCTGCACAAATCATACAATTTAAAATCTGAAGGATAGTGCAATTAGGGTGAGAAAGAAAGAGCGAATTGATTTTACAGCATCAAATATGACAAGGAGGAGCCTAGGCGTTGTTGCTAGTGGACGAATGATGTAGGTTATGGAGAACGGCAATGAAAGGAGAAGATAACCGGCAACTATGAAATTTGCTATCAAGACCTCACTTCAAAAAGGTCACAAACTCTGTCACCACCATTATTTGCTTGTAAATTTCAGCTACTAAAAGTAGTAGAGAACATTATGAATTGCAATAGCTAGAACACCCTTCACGTTGTACACCAACCACTGTCATAGTAAAATATTCAATCGGATGCCAAAGAGAGGTTCCTTTAATCTTGCACTCTGTATATTAAAAAATTATAATAAGTTAAATTCTTTTTTATAAGATATTATGTAATTTACATAAAATTATTATACCGATGTCCGATTATGATAACACAATATTAATTCAATTCAATCAATAATTATATAAAGTTATTAAATATTAAATAAAAATTAGTACATTTTTAGTTTAAAATAATATAAACAATTTGAAGAAACGTAAATTAATCATTATAAATATAAATAAACCTATATAAAATTTTAAAAATTATATTTTTAATCAGATATTTAAAGAACTATATATAATATTACTACTTAGTATATATAGATTCAATCTCAACCGATCTACAATAAACACCTCGATTTTTAACTGATTTAATCCATTAAACTGATAAAATTTGATTTAGATAATTTTCAGTTCAAGAAAATTAACTTATTATGAGTTGTTATTTTTTGAATTAATATATCAAACTAATTAACCAAATTTAAAACCAATTAATTTTAGTCAATTTCGGGTTTCTTTTAAGTATTCCGTGGATTTTATTATATAAATTAGTTTCTTACTTTTGCTTAGTTTTTAAAGTCCGGCTGGCGAAAATTCCCTGTTTGGTTAGATTCACCAAACAGTTTTAAGCATAATCCCCAAAAAATAACGCATCAAAATAGCTCCTCGATCCCGCCCCCGCCATCCAATTAGCTCCGAAGCCAGTAAGGACAAGCAATAAAATAAGGTAGAAGTTTCTCGATGGCGATTCTTTACGCGTTGGTAGCTCGAGGCACGGTTGTTCTGGCGGAGTTCAGCGCCGTGACGGGTAACACCGGTGCGGTGGCACGACGGATCCTCGAGAAACTTCCGGAAGAGGCCGATTCAAGGCTCTGTTTATCGCAGGATCGTTATATCTTTCATATACTGAGATCGGATGGCCTCACTTTCCTCTGTATGGCTAATGATTCATTTGGAAGTACGTTTCCTTGACTTTATTTATTTCTGAATTTATATAAATTTAGCTTTGTTAGGAGTTCAAATTTTTAGGTTGAAGTAGTCGAAGTGATGATTATTTCTTTTAGGATTTGAAGCCTGTCACTTGAAATGCGTGCTTCATTTTAATTTATAGTACTTAGATTTGGCTTTGTTGTAGAATTGCGAATATAATTTCCATTTAATTTAGCATTGATTTTCAAATACTTTGTTACGCAGGGAGAGTTCCATTTTCGTATTTGGAGGATATTCACATGAGGTTCATGAAAAACTATGGCAGAGTGGCTCATTATGCGCCAGCATATGCAATGAATGATGAGTTCTCACGTGTGTTGCATCAACAAATGGAGTTTTTTTCCAGTAGTCCAAGTGCAGATACTCTCAATCGTGTTAGAGGTGAAGTGAGCGAGGCAAGTATCTTGTATCAGCTGGAACTTCCTTTTCTCTTTATCTGTTTGGGGTTTCATTTTCTATTTTCGTTTATATATATATATATATTGGATTTGTAAATGTGTAGCTTGGTTGCAAATTGACTTCCTCTTTATGCTAAGTCAAGTATGTTCCTATTTCTGACTATCTACTTCGTAGGCCATAGTTGTCACTTGACAGCGTATTTTCCTGGATATTCAAGCCTATAACCCTGAATATACTAGTGTGATGACTAGTTCGGCCATGGAAAAAGCTGCCAATTTCTCTACATCTATCCTGAAAATGTTTGTGCTTGTATTGTCTGGTATTGCCATCATTGTTGTTCATTTTGTGTAAGCATATCAAGTGATCAATGTGCTCTGAATTTGTGATTGTATTTAATTTTCAGATACGTACAATTATGGTGGAAAACATTGAGAAGATACTTGAGAGAGGTGACAGGATTGAGCTTCTTGTGGACAAAACGGCAACAATGCAAGATGGTGCATTTCACTTCAAGAAACAGTCTAAACGCCTTCGTCAAGCACTATGGATGAAAAATGCCAAACTCTTGTAAGTACTTCCAACTTCTTTTTATAACTTATTATCTTTACAGAAAATATAGACAGATGACTATATTATGAATCCCCTGTCATCTATAACCATGGAGCAAAAGCATGAATAATTGCTTGGAACCTATAGGATTGATTTTGCCACTGACCTTGTTGTATTCGTGCTCAATTTGGTTTGGTCAAAATGGTCAAGCTTTGAATACTAGTATGTATACTGTGTACAAGGCTCATGGGACAAACCAAGGAAAATGTCATAATGTCAGTTGAATGATCACGCTTCACCATTTTTGTTGAGTACTAATACGAAAAATTTGTCTGATTTTCCCTTTAGCTCGCAGTTTATCATCCAAGAATAAGAATAGAAAATCATTCTAACATCTTAACTTAAACCATTTTTAGTTTATGTTAGAAATGTAAATGGCTCATATCTTCGGTGCATGTTAAATGCCTCGCAAGGAAATTTATACACCATCGTGTACAAACAGGGCCATGCTGACATGCTTGATTGTTCTGTTACTCTACATAATAATTGCCGCCTGCTGCGGAGGCATCACTCTACCATCATGCAGATCCTGAGCACAGCAGTCTTGTTTAAATTTCCGATGATATATGAATCTCGAAGATTATTTATGCAAATTTGTCCCAAGTAGGCTCATATGTTTTTCAAGTTTGAGGTTTCGAGGTATATGTGTAAGCATAATGTTTATACTGCTCAACATTCCAGAAATATATGTATATTTCACAGCTACCTGGACCTCATCTTTGTATTCTGTAAATGCGTGGATTTAGGATATATTATTTGTTTCCAGGGTTTGAATAACTACTTTTCGTCTTTACTTTTTCCCATGTGCTGCATTCGACAATCTTGAGTCTGCACCTAAGGGCGAGCACACGTTGTTATAAACCAACTTAATCAGCGCCTTCGATTTTGTTGATTTCAGTTAGTATGACGGTGGATTATGTGGTTGGTAATTCGGTCATGAACCGATTGGTTTAAGTGACATTAACAGAGATACTATTTTTTAAGATTTAAGGGGTCCTTTTGTTCTTGTAGTAAACTCAAATAATTAACATTGTTTTTATTTTCTAATTGCATAACTTTTATACTTGAACTCATTTAATCATATTATTTTCACTTTTTGATCGACATTGCTCGTTATAGTATTGATGTGATATGTTAGCATCGTTAACTTATCGGTCTACAATATTAACGTAGAAGTTCGTGTGTGAATAATGACGTGACATGTAATTTAATTTATATTATATTTTAGCCGAGTTAGAATTTAAAAAAAACGTTAACAAAAAAATAACTAATAGATTGTACGATGGGAGTTATAAACTTATGTTTGCCATGTTATTCCGGTCATGTATTTGTTTGTATGATCCCAACCGTCTTTGAACCAATAATAACGCAAACAATCACTACCATCTTCTTCTAATAACAACAACAACAAAACCCTATTCACATATATACTGGGAGTAAGGGAAAGTAGGGTAGTAGACTGCCTCCAACGCCAGGTAGAGAGCAATTTCAGAAAATTAAAAATATAGATAAAATATGTGCATGTATAAATAAATAAATAAATAAATACATAGTTGAACAAACTTCATATGCAAACTTCATATGAGCATCTGTAATGGGAAGTAATCCCTGCAAATAAATCTCTGTGTAAAAATCTTTGCATATAGACTGAAACGTAAGTCCCGGCTAAATTTAAAAAGAGGAAACATGAAGAGAATGATACACAGTAGTCAGCGATAGCAAGATATAAGAAGATATAAAGTCAAATGGGTTTAAAACCTAAACTAAGGCAACACTACTCCGCTACCCTAGTTCGAACCCTTCATAAATTCCAATGATAGAACTGTATAAAAAGTAGAAGTAATGAAAATAACTACAAAGGCAATAAAAAGAAGACAGAGATGCTACACTCTATGGTTGTGACCCACACTACTCAGCTATCCTGATCTTAAGTCTCCATACTTTCTTATCAGAGGTCATATCATCGGTAAAGGTTAAATCCTTCAAATCATATCTCAAGCCGATACAATTTCCTTAACATTTTCGCATGAATTTATTGGAAATGGTGCAAGTTAACATCAGTAGGGCAACAACTCCAATGTACGAACTAAAATCATTGCACCAAATCTCCTTATTAAGTGAACCACTAAATTAAAAAATCATCTTATTAAAGATTTTAATAAGAGCATGAGTGTTCAACTTGATCCCTATATAAACACAACGTCTTACCAACGATAATCACATCAAATCTTAAAAATAAAAACATAGTATTTCTCATTGTTCTTATTGCTTAACAATATATCTCTAATGGAGACCAGTTCTACATCAATCAACATCCCTGAGACGAAGTCCAAGTCCAAAGGAAAAGCCCCATTGTCAACCACTTCGAAAGCTGTCGGTTTTGGCGTCCAACAACCGAGACGGGGAGTGAAAAAGGGAATTGCCGTGGGTGACTTCATTCTACGGCTCTGCGCCATGGCAGCCACCATGGGTGCCGCTATAACCGTGGGGATTGCCGATCAGACTCTCCCTTTTTTCACTCAGTTCTTCCAGTTCCAAGCTCAATACGATGATCTTCCAACTTTGGTGTATGTCCCTTTTATCCTCATATCATAACATTTGGATCTTATTATTTAATGTAAATCCTTTTATCTGATATATACGGAGTTAATTATACAGGTTTTTCTTGATAGCTAATTCCATAGTTGCCGGTTATCTTATCCTTTCATTGCCGTTCTCCATAATCTGCATCATTCGTCCACTTGCAACAACGCCGAGGCTCCTTCTCGTCATCTTTGACGCTGTAAAATCAACTCACTCTATCTTTCTCACGCTAACTGCACTATCCTTCAGATTTTAAATTGTATGATTTGTGCAGGCGATGGCGGGTTTAACTATAGCAGCGGCTTCAGCTTCTGCATCGATTATATATTTGGCTCATAACGGGAACCCAAACACCAACTGGCTACCTTTCTGTCAACAGTTTGGTGATTTTTGTCAGGCAGTAAGCGGAGCTGCGGTGGGTTCTTTCATAGCTGGCGCCATCCTCTTGTTTATACTCATCCTTTCAGCTTTTGCTCTTAAAAGAACCTGAGAAAAATCACACAGCCTCTCTCCCTCTACATTTAAATATATATTCGCTGATGTATGTTGATATCCCATCTGTGACCGATATATTTCGCACACTTCTCTAGGGATTAATGTGTGAATTAGTGTGTTGTAGAAAGCCGCATGAATGTTTTCATTTGCTTTTGGTGTGTAACTTTTTATTTTCAACCTTTGTATTGTAAAACGTAGTATTGTTTTCACTTTATAGTCATCCCATCCCTTTGATTTTTTTTTTTAAATTTTCAACCAACAAGACGATGCTACAAATTATTAAATTATTTTACATTAAAATAAAAATAAAATTATTCATTTTTAAACATTAAAAATGTATTAAAATATTCTGAATTAATATAAAATTGATAAAATACATTAATTGTAAAGTTAAATTTTATAATACCATTTGACATCACTTTCTTCATCAAATTAACGATCAAAATTAATGTTTTTTTTGTTGTCTTCCGATTCTAAGGTTTCGTCTTGATTAATCTGGACCGACTCGCGTCGCATATCTGGCTTTGATAGGTGAGTCTCTTAATAGAGATTTTCTGCATACAAAGGACTAGAACTCATGATCTTGCTTACACGATACCAAGTTGCTTACCACTTGAACCAACTCATGTTGATATCAAAATTAATGTTAATGAATCGAGATAAAAATTAAACGAAACAATATATATTACTTTATTACAAATTAATTAAGTAATAAAAAACTTAAAAATAAATAGGGTACAAAATAGAAAATAGCTAGTTTCCAGTAAAAAAGATCATTTAAAATAACTAAAAAAAATTAAGGACCATATGGTGAAATTAAAGTAATTTCCACCCTAAAACCCTACCCCTTCCGCTTGTATATAAAGCCAAATCTTCAAGCTATGTTCATATTCTTCGTTTAGTTTGAAAGCCCACTTCCTTCACTCTATCGACGCTTCTACTCTTCATATCTTCTGCCATCTTCGAACCATGGTGAACAAACCGTTAGATTATTTAATATATATATATATATATATATTTGGAATTTCTTTGATATACTCGAAACTATTTGAATAAGATTTAGTCATACATTCGATGCATTTGAACTTGCTTAGAAATTTCTGTTTGGCTGCCGAGAGAACTAGCGAGCAAACGGAGAAATATGGCGTTTTTCTTATGTCAATCTTTAGCTTATCGCGATCAATTTGATATCCGAGAAAAAGTGAATGAAAAATGGAGGAGCTAGTGGAGATTTCACTCTATGTCGTGAACGCTTTTATTTTAATCGAAACAAACACTTGATTTCGCTGTCCATTGTTGTTTGCAATTCTATTATTTAGCATTTCATGTATGATATTTTGTGTAAATCATAGTCCTATTTAGCAGAGTATTATAATGCCTAAATGTTGACTTGATCATTCGTGTATGTATAGGTTTTCTATTTAAGATATTTTGTATTTGTATAAATCTTAATATGTAAATAATTTGTCTTAAGTAGATTTTGAAACATTCATACATATTGTGTTCAATATGTCAAGTCTAGCTAAATGTTCGCCATGGCTAGTAATGGTGTTTTACTTCTTTATACGGACTTTGCGGATTTACTTCTATTTATACTTTACATAAACTCTTCATTTTTGACGATTTTATAGTCGAGGAGAAAGGTTAGGGAGCCAAAGGAAGAGACTTTGACCCTTGGGCCTACTGTAAGAGAAGGAGAGCATGTTTTTGGTGTTGCTCACAGTTTTGCATCGTTTAATGACACTTTCATTGTAAGTTGTAAAGTCTTTCAGTCTGTATAAGTGAATTATTTTACTTGGTATGTATTGCTTGCTATATTGATGTCATCTTCTTAGCAGTGCATTTAATTTGTTTCTTTTTCTTTTGATATTATACTATTATTACAATTCCAGCATGTGACTGATTTGTCGGGAAGAGAAACCATGGTTCGTATTACAGGTAAGCAAATATCTGAATTGCTCTTCTAAACGTATCATTTAGTTGCCAATTGTATCTCTTTTTTTTCCTTTGTGTTTGTCGTTCTTGCAATAATGGTTGAAAATTGATGGGGGTGGCAAGTGTCGGAACCGTCTTTCGGTTGGGCCCCGGAATTGGGCTTCGACTTGAAAAATGTGGATTAGAGTCGCCACCGATCATTTATTTAAAACAAATGGATTGATCGAATACCCTATTTCTTACCTGATCTGCGTTTTACCAGAGATGTGTCGGATTCGGGAGTCGGTTACAGTCAAGGAAGGGTTAGCACCCTTGAACTGCCCTTTCGGTACTATATAATTTCCAGTTGTCTTTTAGTAAGAAAATTGTAATTTTAAATTAAAAGGTAAAATAATGATTCCAAAACTTACCCTTGATGAATTTGAAAATGCATCCTTAAAAAGTTACGAGTAGCGTTAGGTAAAGTAAAAGAAATTAAATCGACTAGTTGAAATCAAGTAATGAAAAACGACAATAGGTAAAAAAAAAAGCAAAAAGGAAAATAAATAAAACAGAACAATAATAAAACATATGTACAGAAAAGAAAGGAACAAATTAAAGAAAACATGTATGGAATAAAAAAAAACAAAACGAATTAATGAAAGGAAAACTTAAGAATATGTACGTATATAATGCAAAGTAAATAACAAATAAGATCAATAAAAAACGAAGAAAATGTTAATCGTATACATAGGTATATATAATGGTAAACTATAATAGAAAAATAATCAAACAAAGTTAATTAGGATATACGTACAATAATAATAGGTTTATAAACAAATTGTTACAAATATATACATATAAAACGATATATATAACATATATAAAAAAATTAATATATATATATATATATATATATTTTAATAATACAAATTAACGAAAAGAAATAAATAAAAAATATATATATAATAAATAAGGGACCAGAATTAAATAAAATCAAAACAGAATGTCAAATTCGAAAGTAAATTGAGTTTAAAAAAACCAAATTTGGGGTTCAAATTGAGATCTTAAAAAACAGAGAGGATCAAAAGTATAGTTTACCCTTTTCAAAGCAGGAAACACGCGGGTCAAGGATGTGGGTCTGGTTGACACGCGGGTTATATTCGGGTTGGCGGGTCGTGTATTTAAACCAAAAAAACGTTTTAAAATTCATTTCTCTTCTTCTCTCGCCGCAGCCCTCCCCCTTTCTCTGATTTTCTCTCGAAAGTTCATGTGTTCTTGATGAACACATGAGCGCCGCCTCCAAAACCCAGATTCCGGCCGCCGTTTCCGGCGTCGACCGCCGCTCGCCGACAATAGAATATGAAAAGTTCCGATTTTTATTGAAGCCCTTCGTATACTCGTTCCAACGATCCAAATAACTTTCTCAAAAAATGAAGCCTCGGGAGTAGATCTAGACTCGAAGGTTTCGAGAAAAAAAAATTCTTTTTCTTATTATCTTTTTCGAAAATCCTTACAAGTGCTTGAACCTTCTTGGCTATTGCGTGTGAGTGGTTGTTACACAGTGATCTCGTGTGTGAATCCAGTGTAAATCCTCCCCTTATTGTGTTAATTACAAGCCTATTTATACTAAAATAAAAAACCTAATTTTAGATTACATGCTTAAGTCCTAATGGAACTCTAATGCTTTGTTGTTTTCCACATGCACGTTGTTGGTTTGTTGCCGAGAAGCATGGAGACATGAAGGATAAGAGGCCTTCGGCGTGGAGGAGTCCTTGAGCGAAGGAAGCATGCGGCGCTGGATGGGGGAAACTGCTAGGGTTCTGGAAACCCTAGCTCCAGTTGGGTTGCGCGTGTTGGGTCTGAGTTGGACCAATGTGTATTCTGCAGGGCCAAATGTAATTTTGGGCCTGACACAGAAATAAAAATGTAAAATGTGTTAGTTTAAAAAAGAATAATATACAATATATATAATTATATATATAATACATATAAATATATTTTGGTCGTATAAAGTGTGTCTACAGCTGCCCCTCTTTGCCCATAGTCGTGCAACGGGGATAGGGCAAAGATTTAAAGACACACTTTCCATCTATGTCGAATGTCCTCTGTTGTAGAGTTGAAATTCGATGCTGAAATTGGTCGAAATGACTCTCTCGTCATGAGGTTGAGTCAAAGCTAGAAAATTTTGAGCACGAAATCCTTCGTCGTGAAGTTGAAAACGAGCTCAAAATGGTCTTTGAATAGTCTCCGGGCTCAAGGTACTTCGTCATGAGTCAATCTGTTTGTGAAGTTAGAATTTGTATATGGCTCCTTCGTCGTGAAGTTGAGCCTGAGAATTGGATATCCCCCGTCGTGAGGTTGAAATCCAATGCAAGTTGCGTTGTTTCGAGGCCAATATCCTTCGCTGTGAAGTTGAAATTGACTTTGAAATGGAAAGTGTTTGTTGACAACCAGCGGCCCCTTCGTTGTGAAGTTGAACTTGCGTTGTCTCGAGTCCAATATCCTTCGCTGTGAAGTTGAAATTGGCTCTGAAATTGGGGAAGTTGTTTGTTGACAGCCAGCGGCCCCTTCGTTGTGAAGTTGAACTTGTGCCGTCTTAAACTGGGAAATTTTTGTTGACAACCAGCGGCCCCTTCGTTGCGAAGTTGAACTTGTGTTGTCTGATACTGGGAAATTTTTGTCGACAACCAGCGGCCCCTTCGTTGTGAAGTTGAACTTGTGTTGTTTGACACTGGGAAATTTTTGTTGACAACCAGCGGCCCCTTCGTTGTGAAGTTGAACTTGTGTTGTCTGACACTGGGAAATTTTGTTGACAACCAGCGGTCCCTTCGTTGTGAAGTTAAACTTGTGTTGTCTGACACTGGGAAATTTTGTTGACAACCAGCGGCCCCTTCGTTGTGAAGTTGAACTTGTGTTGTCTTGAGTGGCACGATATCCTCCGTCGTGGAGTTGAAATCGCGGATGGCTCCTTCGTCGTGAAGTTGAGCCTTGACTTGAATATCCTTCGCCGTGAAGTTGAAATCCAAGTATTGTATGTTGCGGGTGGACACGATTCCCTTCACCGTGAAGTCGAAACCGTGGAGACCCCTCTATCGTGAAATTTGGTTTTGAGCTAGATACCCTTCGTCATGAAGTTGAAATCTACTCTCGAGTTGATTGTGTAGCTTTGAGCTCAATATCCTTCGCTGCGAAGTTGAAATTGACTCTAGCTAAAACCTGAAGAAGTTATGCATATGTGATGAGATAGATGCCATGCCTTTAGGTATGCCTAAAATGCATATGCCACATGTGTTATTTTTGGGTTCCGAAGGGAAATCTCAATCTCCAGTTGTTTTTCTGGAACCTTGATTCTGGAATCTTCGAGTTCTGAGTTCTTCAAATGTTCAAATCAGACGTGCACATTCTATTTTTTGACTTGAGAAATGCTGCTCGACCATCCCGAGTATGTGCCTGAGCCTCGATTGGCTTCCAAGTACCTGTACTTTCCAATGAATCTTTGTACAGTAATATACGACCATCTTTTGCAAAAGTAAATAATCATTAAGTTTAAGCTCAATCCAAGATGCTCAAAAGGAATTGGTTTAGAGAAAAAGATTGTCTTTTATTCATGGAAAAAGAACAAACAACTCATGACAAACATTCCGGGAAATGAATACATGATGAGGTGTAAATGAATGCCTTAGATATCGATAAAGTGGGCACTTCTGAGCTGAAAAAGTCGTCAGGTGACCTTGAATGCAGCCTTTTCCAAAAGGTCTTTGAAAATGCGACAATGTCTAGGAGAGCGCAACCTCTCTCTGACTTGTTGAGACTGGTAGAAGATTCAAATGCCGGGATGTTTCCACTGTATGGATTTCTTGAGTCAATATCCAAATTGCCCTTTCGGGTTTTCAATTCGGACCCCTCCTTGGTTGCAAGACGCCCTTTGCGGGTTTTCATCTTGAACCCACCTTATTCTTTTTTTTTTCCTATTCAGGGTGCCCTTCCGGGTTTTCACCCTAAACGTTTTTTTTTCTAGGGCGCCCTTTCGGGTTTTCACCCTAAACGTCTTTTGCTTTTTTCTTCATTTTTTTGTTTTTTCTCTTTGTCTTTTCGACTTAGGACGCCCTCTCAGGTTTTTATCCTAAGCGAAGTATTTCTTGACTGCATCCGAATTGACGGGGTATGGCAATTCTGGTCCGTCCATTTCAGTCAGGACAAGCGCTCCTCCGGAAAAGGCTTTCTTCACGACATAAGGTCCTTCCCAATTTGGCATCCATTTTCCTCGGACATCTTTCTGGACTGACCAAATTCTCTTTAGCACCAGATCTCCTTCACAGAATATCCTTGGGCGCACCTTCTTGTCATGTGCTCGAATCATTCGTTTCTGATAGATTTGACCATGGTGAATGGCCTTCAGCCTCTTTTCATCTATCAGATTTAACTGATCGTATCGGGATTGCACCCACTCCGCATCATCTAGTTTGACTTCTGTCAAGACCCGGAGCGATGGGATTTCTACTTCGATGGGAAGAACTGCTTCCATTCCATAAGCGAGTGAAAATGGAGTTGCCCCAGTCGAGGTTCGTACCGAGGTTCGGTAGGCGAACAAAGAAAAATGTAACTTCTCATACCAGTCTTTGTAGGTTTCAGTCATCTTCTCCACTATCTTTTTAATGTTCTTGTTTGCTGCTTCTACTGCTCCATTCATCTTTGGTCTGTAGGTTGTAGAATTGTGATGCTTTATGTTAAATTGCTCACAGGCAGCCTTCATCGTTTTGTTGTTCAAGTTTGTAGCATTATCGGTGATGATCCTCTCCGGTAGACCATACCGACATATGATCTCTTTCTTTAGAAACTTGCAAATAGTGGACTGGCATATGATGCAGCTTCTACCCATTTTGTGAAGTAATCGATTGCCACAAGGATAAACTGATGACCATTTGAAGCCTTTGGGCGTATTTGCCCGATAACGTCCATCCCCCATATAGAGAAAGGCCAAGGTGACGTCATCACATGTAGCGGATGGGGTGGAACATTTA